GACACTTGGAAGCTAAGAGAAGAGAGGAGAATGGTGAAAGGGATAATGATTCAATGAAAAGATGGACAAGAGAAAGAGACACTGAGCTCAACTTACACAGCGCTGGACAAAGAAGTGAAGAAGAGTGCTAGGAAGGACAAAAGACGATTCTACGACAACCTGGCCACTGAAGCTGAGAAGGCGGCAGGCAAAAGGGACCTGAGGACATTATATCAGATAACCAAGTCTCTATCCGAGAAGAGATAAACACAAGTGAATCCTATAAAAGACAGATAAGGGAACCCAATTATCAAGGAAGAAAGACAGATTAAGCAATGGGTGGATCAGTATACAATTGGTGGATGGTGGCTAGCAGTGGAATCCAGGATGCGCATTTCGTCCTATTTGGGACTCGTCAGCTGGATGTACCTGCATTTCTCAGTGAGTGATGAAGTTCCCATCGAGGCTCGAACCCAGTGCCCATAGTTTCAAACGCCAAAGCGTTATCCACTAGACCACTTGGGCCACGAGAGCCACCTCTTGTGCAACGGGTCATATTAATTATTGAATTGAATTCTTGATTTTCCCGTCGATTGATTGGACCAAAGTGCTCGGTCTCAGGTTGACATGTCGGCTTCTTGTGCAGATGCTTCGACGATGTCTGGGGATTTGATTTGTATACAATTGGTGGATGGTGGCTAGCAGTGGAATCCAGGATAAAGCGCATTTCGTCCTATTTGGGACTCGTCAGCTGGATGTACCTGCATTTCTCAGTGAGTGATGATGTTCCCACTGATTAATATGACCCGTTGCACAAGAGGTGGCTCTCGTGGCCCAAGTGGTCTAGTGGATAACGCTTTGGCGTTTGAAACTATGGGCACTGGGTCCGAGCCTCAGTGGGAACATCATCACTCACTGAGAAATGCAGGTACATCCAGCTGACGAGTCCCAAATAGGACGAAATGCGCATCCTGGATTCCACTGCTAGCCACCATCCACCAATTGTATACAAATCAAATCCCCAGACATCGTCGAAGCATCTGCACAAGAAGACGACATGTCAACCTGAGGCCGAGCACTTTGGTCCAATCAATCGACGGGAAAATCAAAAATTCAATTCAATAATGGGTGGATCACTTCAAAGGACTCTTGAGCCGACCATCACCTGCAACCCATCTAGAAATACCAACAACAGTGCGTACAAAACTGCAAGTTGACACCAATCCTCCAACGAAAGCTGAAGTCTTGAATGCAATCAAGCTTCTGAAAGCTGGAAAAGCAGCCGGACCAGATGGAATACCCCTGAAGCACTGAAAGCGAACCCAAAGACGACAGCAGATATGCTGACTCCATTATTGCAAAAGATGTGGAAAGAGGGAAAGGTGCCTACTGACTGGAGGAAAGGTTACCTTGTGAAACTACCAAAGAAGGGCGACTAAGGACTCCGCAAGAAGTGGCGAGGAATCATGCTCCTGTCGACGCCAGGTAAAATCCTGAGTCGCATCATTCTGGAGAGAATAAAGGACGCACTGGATACAGAACTCCAACTAGAACAGCTGGATTCAGGAAAGTCAAGCAAATCATGTTCTGACCAAATTTCAACTCTACGCATCATCATCACAGAACAAAGTATGGAATGGCAATCAAACCTCCACCTCAACTTTATAGACTTCGAGAAGGCCTTTGACAGCGTTGACTGTGAAGTAATTTGGAAACTACTCGAGTACTACGGCATACCCCAAATATTCATCAACCTTATTCAACAGCTGTACGATAACGCACATCTCAAGTGATCCACAACGGAAAACTCAGAGAGGCGTTTGGAGTAAACCCAGGAGTCAGACAAGGGTGCTTATTATCTATCTATCTATCTATCTATTCCTAATTGTGGTGGACTGGATTAGGCGTCAGACAGTGGGAAACAAGAAGACAGGGATATCCTGGACCGACGCAAAGAACCTAGAAGACCTGGATTTCGCGCGTGGATGATTTATGTTTGATGTCACACAAAATCGAAGACTTACAAGCAAAAACCGACAAACTGGTCGAAGAAGCACCGAAGACAGGACTCCAGGTGAACATAGACAAGGCGGAGGTTATGAAAATAACCAACCAACAACAACATCAGCTACGTCCAGTGCCAATCACCATCAACAAGAGGGATTTGAAAGAGGTTACTTCATTCACTTATCTAGGGAGCATTGTCTCAACTACAGGCAATTGGAACGGATGAGGATGTCAAATCGAGCGAGAATCGGGAAGGCGAGAAACACATTCATCAACCTGAAACCAATCTGGAATGAAATCTTTGTCACTCAGCATCAACAACAAAATTCGGTCGGATTTTCAACACAAACGTCAAGTCAGTCAGTTCTTGTATACGGATGAGAAACTTGGCGGGCGGGTCACAAAGAATATTTCCAACAGCCTGTTGCAGACCTTTATCAACAACTGTCTTCGCACTATACTGAAGATCAGATGGCCGGAGAGAATCACCAACAAAGAACTATGGGAACAAACAAAGCAAGAACAAATCGCCCAACGAATATGCAGGAGAAAGTGGAGATGGATCGGTCACTCGCTGAGGAGACCGCTGGGTGACGTCGCGCGTCAAGCCATTGCTCGAGTGGAACCAGGCCGAAAGGGAAGCGGTGTGTGGGACGTCCAAGGATGAAATGTAGGAGATCGTGTGAAGAGGAGTTGAAAGAGTATGGACTAACATGGATGCCGGTGAAAAGTACAGCAGAAGACAGAAGCAAATGGAGACGTGCAGTTGAAGCCCAATGTTCCACTAGGAACCCAAGGGAACAATAATAATAATAACCAGGATTTCACTCTTACCCATTAATATTAAAATATTGATTTTACTGAATAAATAAATCGAAAAAGTCATAATGCATACATTTGTAATACATGCCAACCTCCGAAGTTATGAAGTTTTGAATTTAGTCTAAAAAAATAATGTATCTGTTAAATATGTGTTCATAAAAGCGGATACATAAAAATCTGACTATATTTAGTCACATTCACCTGAAATGAACCATATATTTCTAACATCATAAATTGATAAATGGGGTGAAGGACATACATAAAACTATAAAGGCATGAATAAGCAACAAAATGTTAAGTACTTATATCTTATTATAAAGAATAATAATAATAACGTTTGATTCAATGAAAGAGAAACTGGTAACTAAGACGCACACAACAGATACCTAATTCAGTGTAGCTGATACACGAAGTCAAAAGAAATCGAGGTCATCTATAAAACAGACGAATCGAATAGCCATACACAATGCACACTAATGACTAGTTTGTGACTAGGACAAGTTGGAATTGGTCGTAAAGACAGTTTCTCTTGTTGATATTTACCTTATATGCTGAATAATGATAAATGGAAAAATAATAGTGGGTGGCCAGAAAAGGGTAAAAATTTCTTGTTTAGTAGAAATCTAAAACACAGATGTCAAATTGTGGATAAGTATTTACCAGGCAAAATACATAAATTGCCAAGTATCGAAACATCTGAAAGACGAGCACTTCTAATCCATGTAAGTGCTTAACACATAAAAATGTTTTTCTTACTATTTCGATTACAATAAGAAGTTCGAGCTGTATATTCTTCGATAGGAGTAGTAAACATAAGTTGTATAGATGCAAACCAATTCGTTATGAGTTGGAGGTGTCAGTTAACCGGGTAAGGTGCTTGAATGCAAAAATCACTCGTGTACAATACTGCTAAATCAGAGAAGAAAACAGCCGTCCAGTAAACTACCCTAGAAATGCTGACTAGCAAAGGCGATTACCGTCTAAACATAAAAATTCAATCGAAAACCATAGTTAATTCGATGCTTAGTTTAATGTAAATTGCTTCTTTAGAAAAAAACTTTATTTTCTAAGGGGGCTAAATCTTATTTAGTTAGCCAGGTTAGATTAATACACAAAGGATTTAAGAAAATGTTATGCAGTCACTTGTGCGTACTGAATTGGTTGATAACCTTTATGATGTGAAATAAACGATTCAAATTGGTTTGCATATACTGTAGAAACAGACTGCCAAAGCAGATGAAATGCATTCGAAACCGAAGCCCACGATTTTATACAAAGAAGGTAGCACTATATATATATATATATTGATGTGTTTGTGTTCTCTGAGCTCAGAGAACTACGAGAGAGTTTAGCGAGTTTTCAAAAACAAAAGATAATTGGGATTGATGTAGATCATCAAATGGTAGATCACCTACGGTCAGGTAGATCATAGTTTTTATCTCCATCTTGGAGAATTTACTTTTTTTAATACGCACGTGGTGACCACCAGAATAACAAGTCCATTAACTTTATATAGTTTTGGTTTGTAAGGATTAGTTATGTTTTATGAGTTGATCACGGAGCTTGCCTTGTAACCGGAAGGTCCTGGGTTCGAATCCCAGGCGTACTGCCGATGATTCCCAAACTAGGATAAAACAGCAGCTGTCCAGTACTCCCTGGTTTTCAATGGTTCTCTAACTGATATCAATCCGTGATCAACTCGTAAAAGTCCATTAACGGTTACTGCAGTATTCGTCGAAGTAATTCAAGTGAATTTCACGTTGTAGCTATAATGTAGTTAGTATCAGGATTTACTAGGAAGACATAAATTTAGTGAAACACTCGATACTTTGAAAGAGAAATTATGATATTCACTTGTGCAGTCAGAATAACTTCTGAGTACATTAACCTGTATCACTTTAGTTCAAAGTTAGAAGGTAACTACACAAATGTTCGAGCTAAGTGGTTCCAGGTCTTGTACGTTACATACAAATGCGATGACAGTGTCAGGCAAGCGAGATCGTTACAGTATCTTATGCTAGAAAATAAAAAACCGGGATTATAATGAAGTGATAACTACTAATACCCTGGCAAGAAGACCCTCAAAATCCCACACTTTTACACATCTATCCGCTAAACATAAGAATGAATAAATGAAAGCAATTATCAACTTTCATAATAATTATAACTGCATTCAAGTATAATTCACTCACGATGTTTGTTTTTCTGCTATTGCTAATCTATCAGCATCAGGATCATTGGCGAAAATGATTGTACTATTAATAGAATCTGCATGTTTCATAGCTAAATTGAGTGCAGAACGACCTTCCTCTGGATTAGGATAGTCTACAGTTGGAAATTCTGGATCAGGAGTAATCTTTTACAAAAAAAAATAAATACAATATTAGACTGCAAAAACTTTGATATTTCATTTTTTATGTTCAGTTATCTTGTAAAAGCGAATCTTTACTAGTTCATACAATGAAAAAATGCTGAAAAATAAGTGATATATCAACAAAAAATCAGCTGTATTAAATTTAATATTCCCTCTAATTCAAAAAAATTCAGTTCGAATCTACTGTACAGTTAGGTATTACAGACAGATTTTTATTCAGGGCAGTGATTGAGATAAATGAACAATCAATCTGTTAATTAATAAATGTTTCCTTACACATCCGTATCATCAGCAAGCCACAGCATTGTAAGTTCTCTATACAAGTTTCTCCAGTTTGGATTAGTGGTAAATCATGAGCAGTTTAATGGTGAAATGTCCTGCACCAATCTTATTCCTAAATACACCGATTAATCGATACATTCTGTGCATTTTATTATTATAATTAACCATTGATGTATTTCTTCAATAGCGTTTTACATGTTGCGAAGTTTTCATGTAATCGCAATTATTATTTAAACCACAGCTAACCATTTCACTGTCTACATTTACTGAACGACTGTAATTTAACAACTTTATCTGTAGTTAATATTTGTTATTTCATTTTATCCATTTAGAAAATCATTAGCACTTAACGTTAATTGATAGGTACATATTATCATTTTATTATTATTCCCTTAGATTCAAAATTCGAATATGGGGCTTCAACAACACATCCTCACTTTGTTCTGTTTTCTGCCGTCCTCTTCAGCTAGGTCCACGATTGACCAAACTCTCTCATATCTTCCTCACATGATCTCCTCCATGTCACCCTCGCACCAACGACCCACTCATCACCTCCCATTGGGATTCCCCTCGAGCGTTGAGCTGCATTGCGCGCGATGTCATTCGACGTTTCCCGAAATTATGCATAATCTATCTCCACTTTCTCCTACATATTTGTTGAGCGATCGGTTCTTGGTTGGTTTGTTCCCATAGTTTCTTATTGCTAATTCTTTCTGGCTGGCCATTTGATCTTCAGTATGGAGATAGCCAAGGCAGCTGTAACTTGTTGGAAATCCTTTTCGTGACGTACAGTGCAAGTTTCTGATCCGTATAGAAGAACCGACAGACTCCACATTTGTGTTGAAAATACAAATCTTGTTGTTTATGCTGGCTGAGTGCAGAAGATCTCCACACTGACTTCAGAGTGATGAAGGTCTGTCTTGTCTTTCCGACTCTAGTTTTGACACCCCCATCGATTATGTCGTCTGTAGTTGAAACGAGGCTCCCCAGATAAGTGAAGGAGGCAACCTCTGTGAAATCTCTCCCTTTCATGGTGATTGGTGCTGGTTGTTGTTGTCGCTGCTGTTGTTGGTTGGTGATCTTCACCACGTCCATCTTCTCTGTGTTCACCTGGAGTCCTGTCTTCGCTGCCTGCTTCTTTTGACAGTTTGTTGATTTTCACCTGCAAGTCTTCGAGTTTGTGTTACATTAGACATAAATCATCCACGCGCGAAATCCAAATCTCCTAGAGTCTTCTTATTGGTGGTCCGACGTATTCCTGTCTTCTCACTCCCCTCCCCACACACGGTGTGCTGCATAATCCAGTTCACCACAATTAAGAATGGAGGGTCGTGTTCTCCAGTCGCCCGCTGATCTGCAGAAGCCCAAAGGACAAGATCCCGCACCTGACCACTTCTATGTGTATATATCAGTTTACCTGTTGCTGTGGAGCCAGGTACATAGGTCGTTCGACGCGCATCCCGTTAAGAAGGGTCAAAGAACACTATCCAGCGTGGCTGCAGAAAGGAAGTAGTGGGCGTATAAGGAGTTCAATAATTGAACATTCCGTCACCACTGGTCATTCCATCTCAACAAACGCCTCCTTCAAAGTAATCTACAAAGTGAATAACAACCTGCCGAAAACAATACATTTCCGTCTTCTTTGCATTGCAGAAGCCCTATCCAACTGAATAGTTGGAAAAACCAGGACTATGAATACAAAAGAAAGTTATTCAACCACTTCTACTATCGTGGTAACAACTCTGTTGATTTGACTTAACTTTTGCTTGTATGCTTATTTTCCTAACTATTTTTTCATCAAATTATTCATGTTATTACGTAACTCTTCTTTAACAATCGTTTGTGAAAACTACCCTCTTATATCAACATCCAATTCATCTGAACTTACTAATTGTACTTTCGTTTGTCAAATTTAATGTACACACACACATACAAAACAACCATATATATTTGCGATTGTACAGCTATGAAAATGAATTTGCCGAAAAGAGACTCTTCGCTGAACTACTGGTCTTCTGTCTATTAATGTTCAAATGGGGATTTTTCATGAATTAAGAATATCATTGGTGATAATAAGCAGACAGCCTTGTCTTACTCCTGCATTCACTCCGAACGCCTCACTGAGTTTTGTGTTGTGGATCACCTGACACACGGCACTTTCATACAGATATTGAATGAGGTTGGTAAAGACTTGGGCACTGCACGCCGTAGTGTCGGAGTAGTTTCCGAATTACTTTTCGATCAACTCTTTTGATGGCCGTTTCGAAGTCGATGAATTTAGGGTACATGTTTGATTGTCATTCTACGCAATTATAAATTTATTAAATCCAGGAAATATTTTCTTCGCTTTTAATTTACTAACAAGTTAGATGTAAAACCAAAATACGGACACTTGTATTCTTGTTTAATAATCTCATGTTGAATGATACTCCTTACTAAGTGAAAAATCATTTTATTCCTTCAAATGGAGTAGTCCATATACAAACTTAAAACAAACTTAATGGTTATGTATTTTATAGACAGCAGAGCTACATAAGTATGAGTCTATAAGACCTAACCTCGAAGGATTATATTAATATTCCCTACATTACATACATTACTTATGAACAAAAAGAAGACTTGTCGATACATACTTGTTCTGGGACTGGTTTAAGCGGTGGAAAACCGAAAGCTGAAATCAAAGCTTTGACTGCTTCCCAACCTACACCATGCATAGGTGTATAAACAAAAGGCATCTGACATTTCTGGTTTTCAGATCTAAAAATATGGGGTAGGAAGGGCATGAAAGATAATAGAAAAATAAAATCATACTATACGTCAGTGTGGTTTCAGATCAACTACACATGTGAATATAAAAACTGTTACTTACTTCAGAATTATAGACCACCTGATTGATTTTCAGCATACAACTCTGCACAGAAGTGCGGCAGTTTAAGCTGCCACAATCCTTATAGAGCACAAACGTGAAGAAAGGAAAAAAGGCGGTTCAAAAGAACTCTAATCATCAGATATGTACGGTAGAAAGAATAATTATGTAGGGGAGCATGAGGATTTAATGAATTTAGGATATTACAAAGAGTAAATGTATCTGTGCCATTGAGAACGATTATGAGCCGTATTACCAATAGTCTTCAAGTATTGTTTATCAGCGTTTTGTGGACACCCATTCTACTCCACCTGTAATCCAGGAATTCATGAATTGACACCATATATTGGTCTCACTATCCATTAGTTCTTTCCCAATTGATCCTATACTGGTCAACATTGCTGGATGAGGGAAGATATAACATGACATTCTTAAAGTGTCTATGCAGTTTCACAATCTCATTAATTGACGTTCCATACTCTATGCCTGACCATCGTTATTACTCATTATATCATTGTACTTAATACGTACCAAGAAAATCATTTTGGGTACCCTGCTTCAGCCATTCATTTACACCAATCTTCAATCGACATTGGAGATGAGATGGCCAGAAAGAATCGGCAGAAGGAAACTCTGGCAACCAACCGACCAACCAAAACACCTATTGCCTAATAAATATTCAGAATGAAATAGAGATGGATAGGGCGTATCCTGACAAGACCGTTGAGTGATATACATACACCAAGCCCTCAAGTTGAACATGGGTCTGAAGGTGATCTGGAGATGATACGAGGATGAGATGAAGACTTGTGGGTAACCATGGAGGCAGCTAAGATGGAGTGCAGGCAACCGGGTGAAGTTAAGTACTGTTGATGCTCTGTGCTTTACTTGCAACTCAAAGGAATAATAATAAAACGGGATATAGAACGTAAATATCTATGGTCAAAAAGTGTTAGGCTTTTGATATACTCTACTTCAATAGTCAATTCCCACAGTGAACTGTTGTTCAGTACACAGTTCATTTGATAGGTGTACTGTGATCACGAACATTGTTATCAAAAGGAAAAATAAAATCTTATGAAATGGATAATCAGACAATAACCAGTGTTGTAATGTTGTATTCATTTTTAATGAATATCTGTCAGAGAAGCTATACAGTAGCGCTAATCTTCAAAATTTTTCAACACTATTAGCAACTTGTGTTGGATGTTGAATATCCATCTCTAAATTGTTCTTACATCATACCGCATTTAAGGATATTAATTATATGCTTAAAAATAGCTGAATAATCCTGTCTTCGACTGAACTACTCAGTGAAATAATATTCGCATGACAGAAAAGGTGAGAACTTAGATGCAACTTTCTACAAGGTACTAACATGTATCTAATGCGTTTACAAGGCTACCGACCAGTTTGCTGCAGTTATTTAATTCTGAAGTGGAATGACTTTATAAAAGTAATAATATGAACGAACATAGTTAGTTGATTCAATCCTAGGGCAGAACAGTTGAGAAGAGTTTTGTTAGGCGAATTCAAGAATGAGACATAAATAACATCCGCTTTCATTAAGAACTTCAAGATGAACTGTTAATTACATATAAATGTAAACCTTGATTTACATGTCATTGTTTGAATTCGTTCAAGTGATAGGGCTGCTTTTAGAGCGTGGTGACATTACGTAACAAACAAATATAACTTACTCCGTAAAACATAGTTTGCTTTTTTGTAGTTTACAGTAGGTCTCCAAAATTCCAGGCATTGGATCAATGCATAAAGAATTTTCCTCTACAGATTCCAAATTCCACGACGACTCCGATGGAACTAAACTTTGAAGGATACATTCTGATATACCCTTGTCATGGGGACCGGTTATCTGACATCCATTTGACCAATAAACCTTAAAGACAATTGGAAAACTGGTACAGCTTACCTTGTAACCGTTATCATCCTTTGGATTATGTGATGCAGTTACCATAACACCTAGAGAAGTCTTGAAATGTGTGACGCCAAATGCCACCAAAGGAGTTGGTAATGCATCTCTAAATAGGTAGACTTTGCAAGCAGCATTAAGAAATACATTAGCAACGATAAACGCCCACCTAAAATCATTGAAGTAATTTGTTTTAAAAAGTAAAGGAAAAATTACTTCCTGCTATTGTGGCGAGCATCATAACCTACTATAATTCCATCGGACATTAGATTTGAGAATACTTTTAGTGAATATTTAAGTAATCCCTTCAAGTGTTCAAAGAATACACTTAATTTCGGTTACCTGAGTTGTTTGTATAATTGTTAAATCATTCATCTGAGAAAATCCCGGACCCATTTTTGCTCGTAATCCTGAAGTATGTCAGCAAAATTTTATTATGCAAACCAGCAGTTCCAAAAGCCATTCTTTTGAGTAATATCTTTTTTAAATTATCCCATTCTCCTTTATCCTTCATTGACTGAATTTGTGAGCGCGTAACTTCATTCTTCAGTGATGAAAAAATAAAACCAGCAAAACACCCACCTTATCATATTTCATCCATTCTTCTACAGCTGCAGCTAGTTTACTGTCCATTTAATTGATCTAAAAAGAAACTTCATTAATCAGTAAAACCATGTGAAACTAAAATTGTCCTATTAAAATGTTTCACATTAAAATTAATGTAAGATAAGTAGTTTCCATTATATTGAATAAAACATGCATCTGGGAGCATAGGCGATTACAAACGGTAGTTAAGCATTTTGGCTTTACTAAGTCACAGATCATTTCATTACATAATGTGAAATATATTTGACTTTCATTATGTGAAATCATTACTGGACGGAAAACTCTCATATTGAGTCATAAGAAAAAAGACGTACACAGCAAAAATTCTATTTCCTTTGTTAATTATAAATCACTGTTTTGGCTAAAAGTGCCTTAGAATACGTCTATACGGTATCTTCCATAAATTAGAATTAAAAAAGAAAAACAAATTTACTGGCCTTCAGAATGTTAAATAGTGATCACACCCAAGTGAATAGTCCGAACAATCATACAGTTAAGAAATTATGTAGAGCTTAATAATACAAAATATTCACATGACTCAGTAAGATATCGTTAAGTTAGCTAATATGATAATTTTAAATAATCGATTTTCCTTTCCAAATATACAATTAATTTCATACATTTATTCCCCTTAATGAATTTGAACAATGCAAGAACTACAGTTTTAGCAGAATAAAATGGTACCATCTTTTATTTCGTTGCTTTCTCGTCAGCTGCTTACATGGCAAAGACATTATTAAATGTATCTACAACAACAATTTTAACATACTTGCACAGAGTTCAGTTTAAACAAAAATCAATCGATCAATATACGCATACTGTAGTTCTTGCATTGTTCAAATACAATTAATTATTAAATCATATAGATCTAGAAAAAAATGTATTTCCCAGCAATTCCATAGGAAAACTAGCAGTGAGTTATACCTCTGGGCATTCCTGAGAATTGGCTTCAATCACTACCCACTACTACATAGATGAATTGCCAGTTGTAACGCGATTATAGAGAAACTACGATATAGCACTGTCTCGCGAAATTTTCCTTTGGAATGACTTATTTAGATTTATCAAAGGAGATAACTGTTTGAAAGCTATTTAATAAAGGGACTTTTTGGCAACTGTAACAGATGCAGACAGGAACAAACGAAGATTAATAAACACCGTTCTAAAGTAGAGCACTGTATCTAAGGCACTTTTTATCTTGGCAAAACGTCTTTCTTATAAAACTATATTGGGAGTAAAGGACAAAATGGCGTTTTAAGTTATCTGAACTGGTCCAGTATGATTAAATAAAATTATTTAGAGCATGGGATTGTAATAGGGTTGCAATTTTAACTGTTATTCCTAAAGTAATTGAGATATTTAATTTAGAATTAAACAATGTGATTTGCAGTAACAAAGCTGAGAATTTAAAGTTATAACAAAATACAAATATTTCCCAATGAGCAGAAGGATGATATAGCTAACGCTTTAACACTCTATTCAGTTGTATGAGGGATAGGGAGAATGCAGATGTTTTGGAGTAGTAATTTTTTCTTGACATTTTAGATTACTAGAATATCCCAAATGCTTTAATATAATAAGCCTATTGTGACAATGACAAACCTTTATTCACATTCTAGGATATTTGAACATGAAAGGATCATACCAATGTCACGAAAACAACAGGAAATAATTTGCACCTGATTGTGAAAAACTAACACTTCCATATAATAACAGTGGAAGAATCATATCAAAATGCCACATGAATAATAACTTGAGTAGCGTTCTTCAATAATTCAAGGACCTCATCAGAAGCGTATACAATTTTTTTTACAGAACAAGTGAACTATGTAAAGCGAAGTAAAGTAAAGCTCTACATTGGGTTTCCCAACGGTTTAAGAATAAATAAGATTGTTGTAACCAGTCGAGTACCTTTTCAGTACTGGTCATTCCATCCCAAAAAATGCCTCCTTCAAAGTAGTCTACAAAGTAAAGAATAACCTGCCATAGGCGACACGCTTCCGTCTCCTTTGTATTGTTGAAGCTCTAACTGTTCATCTGAGAAAACCGGAGGTATTCCTAAAAAGGAAAATTATCCGACCACTTCTACTATCACAGCGACAACCTTGCTAATTTTCACTGACTTGATGTTTGTGTGTCTGATTTTCTAAAACCTAATAACTATTGTATTTCTTCACAATTCTCACATAATTCCATATCTTCCTCCATTTATATATGCATCCTGATCACAACTCACGCAATAAATTGTTCACCTTATTATGTAACTCCAATACACTTATTCAACTTCTTTTACGCATTGACTAATATTAAAAACTCATCACTTTTGTTGCTGCCCTTTCGTGAAAAAATTATATGTAAATGTGATTGTACAGTTAAAGAAAATGAATTCGCAGAAAGGAACCTCTTCGCTGAACTAAGTGTTTTTTTTTCATTATCGTCTGGATGAGGATTACTCATGAGTATCCAAAGCTGACGATGCAGAGTGATCAGATTCCAAATGGAACAGATGATTCTTATAAAAACGGGTTTAGTCAGTAATGTAATTTTAAAGGAATCTACAAAAGGGATATAAAACATTGAAACGGTCCGCCCATTGGTTAAGGGCTGTATGCTGAAGGCGATTGCCATTCGACATAAAAGAAAATATTGTCTTTCTTCCCATTAATCCCAGTAATTGACGGAGATCACATAGATGAGTTTATTCGAAGCTCTATTTAAAACAAACACAAGCAGATATGAAATCAAGTAATAATTCCAATGTTTCACTCAGCAGTTCAGTTCGAGATCCTCTATAAAGACGACTTGTCTCAATTTCATGTGATCCATTGGTTCACTTAACAACAGAAGAAATGTTTGGGTGAGGATATTCACAAAGGTATTACAAAAATAAAAATCAAGGTAAATTGAATGTTAGAAAGAAGTTTTGATATCAAGATGAATTTGTGACTGCACAAACAGGAAGTATTGAGGACTAAACTTTTTGAAGGATTGATTTAAATATCCCAAAGCACAACATTTACTATGTCATTCCAATGGACATTTATTACGAACTATAAAAATAAGAATGGAAAATAGAATTTGAAAATAACAAGCATTGGATGATGTTTAATTTTTTACACGATTGTTCATTAAGTGGATACATAAATAAATAGTGGATGTGTTCCGACTGTGTGTCGTATATTTGAAGGACAATCCTATCTGGTACTACGTCACTTAGACAGATTGCCGGCAAAATAAAGTGAGCTACCCTAACTACCTAATAATGGATAATAAAATGAGGGGGGAAATGACAACGCAGAATGTTTCGCTACGCTACAGATTTGATTTAAAATAGGGGGTTAATACACAACAACAACAACAACTGGATACGAGGTTATCTCATGTAAGTATGACGAGATTTCTGGAATGATACAGTTACAGTAGAAGAATGTCCTCCAGTCGTACTTCGAATTTTAGAAAAACTAGGCTTATGCTTTACTGAGCTACAGCGAACTTTTGAGAACTCGATGTTAGCACAGAATTTACTTATTTTTTCAGGTTGTTAATCCAAAACAAAGTTCTCGTGGGATTTAGTGTTGGTTCCATGTAGTTCAAAATTACTGTTTTGAAGCTGAATGATTAATCTAATCGATAAGAAACAAATGTTTAACCATGAAAATCAAAAATGCAAATCGTAATTACACAATTCGAAATACCCTAAATTAAACGGTGCCATTGCAGAATACCAATGTGCTTATTTTCATGCAGAGTGCACTCATTTTTCACAAGCATTAGACAACTTATGAATTTCTAATTTCAATATGGTCTACCTACTCCTATCTCTTTGGTGATTATAAGGAGTCATTTTCGTATATTATGCACATTAAAACGGAGAGTCGTTGAAACTAACGCGTACGTATGTACAACTGTTGAGGGGAATTCTAAACAAATAAGAGTTATTTAGACAACGGAAATGCTTCATGTAGATATATCAATACATAGAGCGTCAGAACAGTCTAAAATTCTTCAGTTCTTCATATTTTACTCCCATTACTGAGGCATTCTAGATTTGTGACAGGCCATAGTGTCATCTGTGTTGATCCTGATTGATAGATCTGGTGGGTATCCACATACTGACTCAGCTCATAAAGATATTTAGAGTGCATCTTAAATTACTGCGACTGCAATGATCAGTAACCTTTTAGACACCTTAAATGTCACAGGTAGGAAGACGTATTACTAAACAGTAAAGGTCAACAGAGTTGGGAATCTGGTAACAGTTGGGTGATCAAATTATTATGACATTCGTGTTTTACTCTACTCTTGTGTGCAAAACAGGATTATGCAATCTTTGTAGGTCTGTGAGTGCACGGCCTAATTACTCTAGCATCTTCCAACTCAAATAGAAGGAGCCACAGAAAAAACGGCTACTGTCGTGAAATAATTAGAAACTGAAGAGAAATACTAATAAAATTAGTTTTCACCCATAGGTCTTTTCAGTCTGCTTCATTTAGAACAACGACAGAAGCACGACAACTTTAGCTGTCAAAATGACAAACACTTTCTTTATGATGTGACTTTGCTAAATAATTTACCTAAGGTTATTAAAATGGCCTTCTAACCTTTTTGATAAACTTGAGATGCTACACAAGACGTGGTGAACTCGAACGTAAGATTCACATTAAAAATATCGTACACTATTCTTGATAGTACCAGCGAAATGGGTCTACTTAAAGACCGTTTTAAAGCTGTTTCATATTAGTTAATGTCTACATAATTTATCTCGTTTAGGTAGCTACTACCCCTCACTTTGTGCCGCTCATTCCATTAAGAGAACACTGAGATTTAGATATCAGACACATGTACAAAAGGCGATGTATGAGATCGTGCAGCCGCATAAACAGAAAAATGGAAAATACTTAACAAATATGTAAGTTTGTTACATATATTGACTATGATTTATTATTTACTCGTTGTTACTTTACGCGTTTTAGTTCAGTTATCTACAGCACTATAAACCTAATAATGTATTATCTTATCACTACATAATTCAACTATTTATCAGATATGTAATTTCGAATAATGCTCCAGTAGTCTTAATTCTCTAACAGGAAATTGTTGAGCAGTAATTTAGGCGAAATATTTACACCGATTTTCAATAAAAACATACTTCTATTCACTACAAAACCAGATAAATTTTGGTTCTATTAAACAAATCTCTCGATTGTTAGCCTCATAACTCTCCCTCTGAATGGTCATTTTGAAATTTGTAGGGGCGTAACCTGAAGTTGTCTTAAAAATTTGACACAGTTTAAGTACAAAACACCTTAGTAATACAACTAAATGAATGACGAAGTTGGGCGAAAATCAGTGGCAAATGAGCCAAGCTCTGACTAACGCACGCTCGACAACAATTGTAAGATACCATTTAAAACGTGACTGTGAAAATACTGCTCTCCAGTATTTCGGGCGCAATTCTGTTTTGTGGTAAGAACTATACCTAAGAAAAACCCTGGGAATTATATCCTTGTTCAAAAGTTTGTGCAAAACACGTCCTGACTGTTATGTTCACTTTAAACTGGCTGTTTGGAAATCACTTACTTTTATAGGATGAGATGAATTATAATTGCAGTTAATACACAATGTACGATGACTGAAGATAATTTGACTTCACATGTTGCTTCCTACAGCCTCTTGCTTCCAGACATTACCGAATGATTCTCAAACTTAAGGATATATCACTGAATTAAATCCGAATAATTGCCCTCAGTAACTTCGATAGGCACCAAAGATGGTGAAATACCGATTATTTTGAGGAATTTGTGATCAATGTTAGTGCCTTCACTACTTAAGTATATAGATCAACGATCTAGAGTAAAACTGTGATAATATGTAGAAGCAAGTAATATGATTCAATGGATAAGTAGTACTAGTCGCATAAGCGTCTCCAAACCTGAAATGGGACAGATGATAGAAACTTCGAGCTTAAGATTCAATTTCGGCTTACAACAAGCAAAAATGTTAAACTTGCTGTACAAAGTTCGACAATTAGGTGCAGATGAGACGTTAATAGTTATTTAGGTCATCTCTGAGGTACCTGGATTGCTAGGTTTCTGCAAACAACTTCAAGTTTGAACAAAATGCTAATTCATTGAATATAAGACCATCAATTTCATGTGTATATTTACAGTACAGTCCCCAAAGAAATTGATGTATGATTGAAAACGATATGAAGGACGAAAACAGTGTGAAAATATGTTGTTTTTATGATAATTTACATCGGTAACAACAGAATTTATGGATTGGCTACTGTGCTGTTTCTTTATTTATAAAATGTGATTTTATTTTCTCACAATAAATGATCCCAGGTTTTAGTTGAGTAAAGGACAAAATGAGGAAATCTCGAAAAATAAGAAACATACGGCAACGTCAGATTCAGACTTTGACCAAATCAGTTCTCACGGCCTTGAAATTGCTAATATGTCACTTCCAACATTGTTGAATGTCACCAATAACACCATTGGAAATTAACAGTTCATTGCGGTCTTAAGTCTGTGTTTTGCAGGTGATTTTTCTTGTGGTACCTCTGAAACTAGGGGCTAAGTTTCTTACACTATTTTTCCTCTGTGTGGCAACCTGATGTATCTCATATCATTCTCATAAGCTAACGAAATCCGGACTTATTGATTTGCTTCCACCCCTCAATAGTAAGGAGAAATTCCTTGGTCATTAATGGGGTTCAGTACTTTCAGCCAACTACCTGTTTTCTGAGGCTGTATCGGTCCTCCTTTACATAGTAAGTATGGGTAAATTTAATGGATGATGTGTGGTTTGTATTGAGACTACGGTGGTGGCAATCGTCCTGCAGTCGGTGGCCTGATGAGGTCAAAGAGAGTTAGAAAACAACAGTATTTATTCAGATGAGGAGAAAAAATTGAGCAAACAAATCAGTATATATAAAAACAGGGCGAAAATTTTTGAGGGCTTAATGGAAGCAGCCGGAAAAGTTGTTAGTTCCGGCTTAATAGAAAGTCATTCCAATATCCAATATCGTTTTTACGAGCTAGTATAAACCAATTTGATTTCTTTGTGCTCGCTTCTTGATTGTGAGGTATAGGTTCTTGATCTTCGGTAAACTTCTGCGTAGCTTGTCCCGCCACTCGACTGTCGTAGCTTTGGTTGACTCCAAAGGGAGTAGTGCTGGGATTAATTATATGTGGTTTGTAGTATGAGGTATGTTAAGACTGTTACTACTGTGATTGGAGTTGATCCTTTCGCCAGTTAGTCCTTCGGTATTGTCGACAAGAGAAAAGAGATAATAATAGTAATAATAATAGATAATTAGTGAAGCTATTCAGACTAAGAGACAGAAACGAAAATAGGAAACGTAACAACAGTCAGCTCATTAAGTTTGAAGAATAATATATATCGGTAATAGTAATAATAATAATAATAGTAATTATAATATTAATAAGTTGTCAGGAGAGTAAGACGGGAGAGAATGTAAAGAAGTAAAATGACGAGTTTAATTATCTACCCTGATTGGTAAATGCGATTTTAAGGAGATAGGCCATTTGGATGCAGTCCTTGTATCGCTGCATGGTTGTCCAGCCTTCGCTTAAAGGCGTCCAAAGACGGTGCCATAGCTACATCTGCCGGTAAGGAATTCCAGGGACGACAAACCCGCAGTGAAAAGAAGTGGGAGCGCACCCGGGTCCTTGCCCTCTGGTGAGCTATCCTTCTGGGATTTCCACGTGGAAGCCTATACCTACTCAATGGCAGAACACCTTTGTTTGGGTGATTCTGGTCATTTGTTATTTTGTAGGCAGTAATCAAATCCCCCCTAAGCCGACGGTAACTAAGTGTGAACAGGCCTAATTTCTTCAGCCTTTCATCATATGGTTTGTTTCGGAGACCAACCACTCCTTTTGTTGCCCGTCGTTGGACTCTTTCCAAGAGGTTGGCATCTCTTCTCAGCATTGGGGGTGCAATAATATTATGCACCTCAAGGTGTGGCCTGACGTATGTTTTGTACAACATTAGAAAGAGCTCAGGAGTGAGTGCACCTAACTGTCTATGCGTAAAGTGTATGACCGCATATGCCCTCGCTACATCCCCTGTGTAATTTACGCTTGTGTCCATTTTTTCCGTTAGAACTAGACCTAAGTCGCGTTCCGACGTTGTGCAGGACAAGCTTTCATTGCACAGGGTGTAACTTGCATTCTGCAGTCTACAGGTGCGCAACTTCACTACTTTGCACTTTTTCAAGTTGAAAGTCATGCCACTGGCCACCGCCCAGTCTTCCAGAAGGTTTAGGTCTTCCTGTAGCCTATCTGAGTCCTCCGGACACTTTATCGCCCTCCATATTTTTACGTCGTCAGCGTACAGGAGAGTCGGGCAGCTCAGACGGCGTGGTAGATCATTGATGAAAATCAAAAACATCAGTGGTCCTAGGATAGAACCCTGCGACACTCCTGATGACGATCTGTGCCAAGATGATCGGACTCGGTTAACCTTAGTGCAAAATTGCCTGTCGGCTAGGTAGTCCTTCAACCATGACAGAAGTGGCTCACCTATGCCTGCCTGGCTTATTTTATGTAGGAGAAGGTCATGGTGAACAGTGTCAAATGCCTTCTCAAAGTCTAGGAAGACCACATGGACTGGTACGTTCAAGTCCCAGCATGATGTCCAGTCGTCCCAAGCTGACGCAGGATCTGCCTTTTCTGAAACCATGTTGGGCTTCATGTAGTAAATTAGTCCTATCGAAATATTCCCTGATGTGGTCGTCAATAATACTTTCCAGTACTTTTGATACCACTGGGAGTAGAGCTACTGGTCTATAGCTAGCAGCGTTTTGCCTGTCCCCACCCTTGAAGATTGGAGAAAGGATGGCTCATTAATAAGGTTACAGTATGCAGGTAATACACAACAGTCTGGCTGGGTTTTACAGATGCCTAGATACAGCCTGTATATTGCTGTGAGACTACTGTAGCGTCATTTGTATCCCTACCATTGGTAGTACTCTGATGACAGCTGCTAACATGGTGTTCTTCAGGCTCAGGTCGGCTTCATGAAGTCGAGGCCCTTAGTTTAGGTCTCCCCGATTAGCCATCTTCTGTACAACGCTACGACAAAACCTATGATGAACCGGCAGCATGATTACTTTGCGCCGTGAACTTTGATGCTTGGGTCATTGTGAGGATTGACCAGGACCTTCTTTAACCAGAGGTAGTCAGGGGTAGATATTTTTTTATTTTCGATTACGCATTATCCTTTCAAGAAATCTGTCTTTTCTGAGAAGCTGGCGTGTGCTTAAAGGGACAAATTGTTGATGATATTCTGGCCTTCATATAGCAAAGCAATTACGCCTCAAACGTCCACAAGAAGGACTTTAATATGAGTGTACCCAACTGTATAGACATGGAGAATTGGATGGCAACGGCCCTCGACAACTCCGCCATATGGTCTGCGTTTGAACTTACTACTTAGATTGGGGCTTATGTTATGCTCTGATTATCTGTGGGAGAAACATCAGTTAAAGGAGCTGAAAGTCAGCATGAGCGGTTTTCTGATGCGTGGTTCAAAGATTTCGCAGTATGCGGGGTTATAATTACTTCCTAATCATCTCTAGGGACTTAGATGTGTCTGTAGGATGGTCGAATCGTCTACGCTTGTTACATCCCTTTCAGAGGAAAAACGTCGACGTCTCCATAGTGGAGACGCACTGAGCAACCAAGAGTGAACAGATAGTGAAAATGCAAAGAACCATAGGACATCTCCTTACGAAACCACACGGTCCACGATACTTCATGATTAGGGGACATAAATAACTCACATTCGGAGCTTCATCCTATGAAGTTATTTCTTGATCTATAAAAGTGGTACACCGTCACTGTCAGTTTGATCTGTATTATGAGGAGGATCTCATGTTGAATGGAATCGAGGAAGGTCATTTAAACTTGGAGATTCTTGTTCAAGAAACCTTTTTAAATCCATGCAACCCAAGCCATTTCCACCTCAGTGTTCGATCAGTTTATCTGTGTAAATTGATTCGTACGGAGGACAAGTAGATTTTTAGCGGGCAAGAGTGATATATTCGTATTGTTTCGCGATTGTGTATTACCATATTCTCCATATGTTATCTTCAGTAGCTACATCCTTGAAAAGCCGTAGGCATTACATTTTCCCCTCACTTTTCTTGGCGGTGCTAGGAGCGACCTGGTCACCTGTTTCTAGGGGGTCAGGCTAAAGTGTAAGCAAGTAATTTAGTCAAAACCCAGGTCCGGAAGGACAGATGACTCTACAACAACCAAGATTCGTCGAAGACAACCGGAAACGAGCTGCATAACTAACTGGCTTCCTAAAGGGCTTCGTTCACTCTGGACTTTCGTTTTGAATAATAGCACGAAATGGGCTCCTTTCTGTAATCAGAAGTATGTTTCAGTATGATATATTGTCACTGGTGGGTGAATCCATTCACCAGAACCTATTCATTCATCAGTAGGGACGACCACTGTATGGACCTTGAGGCACCAAGAAAAAGTCTAATTTCACGGGAGTGAGCTCTCCTGCAACACACGCGCTAACGGGAATCACCTCATTGCAGAGGTATGCACAATACTAGATGAAACGTTGCGATTGAATAGAACCTGACACAATATTTTAGTTTAGTGGTATTCTATGAGTAAATGGCTGCTACTGTAAATCCAGTCCAATTCGTTTGATGTCATCGCCCACTTCCTCTTTTGACTTAGTTGTCATGGTGACATTTAGCGGGCTTCGGTCAATATTTACTTGCGCATTTGGATTCCTGTGTAAAAGTGGGTCCTATCGTTTCCGACATGAAAGCGCTCAGTAGACACCAACCTGGAGGTTTTGCGGCGTAAAATACATGTCGAGTTTGTGAGTTCAAGGAATGGCGGATCTACTTTGAAGGATGATGTTTGTTCGGTAACGAAAAGGAGATTCTACTACTGCATGCTAATGGAAGTGTCTCTCACGGGGTATTTAGGTATGGGCGCTTCAGGATGCAACCCTAAATTCAGTCCAGAATCGCTAGAAGCATCATTTAGTTTCATTGCAAAACATATATATAGAAGCCTGAAAATGGTGTCTGTTGCCATTACTATTCCCTTGAGGCTATGGCTACACTTCAGAATGTCGTGAAGGTTGAGCTTCAGGTCTATTCAAACACAATTTGTTGAAAATGGTGGCGCCAAACATTTGATTAACTTTAGTTGTCTACTTACCCGTGGGCTGATTAATTTAATCATCTGAATGCAGGAATGTTCCGGGAAAATGAATAAAAAAGAATAAACGAAAATTCTTTAGATTGAAAGTTGCCGACCCTGGTGACCTCGGTGTTTCGAAGGGAACCCAGCTGACTATTTACGGTTTGTAAAGGAGTTTGAAATCGCGTTGAATAGTTTTTCGTTAAATGATGAAACGAAGTTGATGTATTTGATGAGGTACTGCACTGGAGTTGCTTCAAGAGCTCTACA